TGATTCTGAAATTACCAAGATTCACAAATTAAGTTTTAGTGCACGATCAAGTCTTAATATACTGATGTGGGCAGATGAGGCCGTCTATTCTTTTTGTTTTTTGTTGGTTTGGTTGAGTGTGTGTGTGTGTGTGTGTTTTAAGACATGGTTTCTCTGTGTAGCCCTAGCTGTCCTGCAACTCACTCTGAAGACCAGGCTGGCCTCCAACTCAGAGATAGGCCTGCCTCTGCTTGTGCTCAGATTCACCACCACAGCTAAATGTGTTCAGTGTTCTAAACGTTATAGATACGCAGATTTATCTTCTGCTACTAGGGTAAGGCCATCTATTCTACCGTTTCCTTTTCTGGGTTCTCAGATACTGCCTGGTAGCATAAAACTGTAGCAAAAATAAATTCAAGGAGAGGAAGAGAAGAGGAGAGATGATGGAGACAGAAGAAAAGGAAGAAGGCGGAAGGAGGAGGAGGAGGAGGAGGAGGAGGAGGAGGAGGAGGAGGAGGAGGAGGAGGAGGAGGAGGAGGAGGTGTACTCACCACCGCAGCCACCTTCAAGTCAGCTCCTCGGGGACACAAGCTGAAACTCAAAGGTTGCACAGATTTATTTTCTGTTACTATGGTGGATATCATATTAGTCAAAGTATGAAGGGGCAGGCAGACTTTTGAGTATTATGAGTTTTTTTTTAAATAAGCATGGGCATATCCATCCACGACTTGAAAACTATAATAAAACTTTAAAAAAAAAAAAAAAAGTTGTTCAGATTCGGTCGCGTGACTGCTCCCAAGTTTTCAAGGAGAGTGGTTGGGCAGACGTGATTAAGCTCCTCCCGGGAGTGGGCAGTGCCTACAGGAATATTCTCCAGCCCAGCGCGCGAGCAGAGGTACCGCTAAGCACTCAGTCGCCGCGACGCGAATCTAGAGAACTTTTCTGAGAGTGAGGAAATCCAGAGAACTTTTCTAAAAGTGAGGAAATCCAGAGAACTTTTCTGGGAGTGAGGAAACAGCCACCCTTCGTGGGTTTTGAGAGCTGAAGCCGCAGGAGTCCGGATGAATTAACTCCATGAAGCCTCCAGGACCCAGCATGCGCACAGCCCCTCCCGCCTGGGCAGATCACACCCCAGGCCTCCGGCCACTCCCGGAGCGCAGACTTCGGACTAGCTTCGCGTTGCGAGCTATTCTGCTACTGGTGAGTACGGCGCGACGGGAGCACGGTGCCCGGAGTGAGAAGCCCGCGAGGAGAAATGGCGCGGAAGTGCCCTGCGAACCGGGCGCCCTCGTGCCCGTGGTGGGGTGGGGGAGGTCTGACGGTGTGGAGGAACTCCGCAGTGGACCAGGTAGAACTCGACTTGGAAGCGTAGAAAGTTCGGTGGTGGAGTGGGAGGGTAGGGTGGGGTAGGAGGATAGGGGTGAGGTAGGAAGGTGGAGGTGGGGAACCCCCTTCTCGAAGGTGGGGTGAGTCAGGATGGGAAAGGAGAGTTGGGCGGAACACTCTAGACCGGGAGGATGTGACGAGGCGCCACTCTGGTATAAAAAGGACTCCACGGTAGGTGAGAGGACCCAAAGATGGAGAGAGAAAAGTTCTGACTTGGGGTTGGGGGTTGGGGACAGGGAGGTGGCTCGCACCAGGGCACCATACCTCGAGTAAGGTGAAGCAGGGGAAGGGAGAAGGGACAGTGGGTGGAGGAAGGATCCGGTTACCCTGTACGACAGAAAGAAATCAGAAGCAGAGTGGTTGTGTGTGAGTTGGGTACGGGGAGGGAGCCTCTGTCTAGCTGCTGGACACCTGCCACTCCCTTCCAGGCAGGAAAGGAGGCCTTGCCTGGTGTTAGCTTTAGCTGACAGAAAGTTCTAGTTCAATTCCAGTGTTACATCACTGACTTTTATCCGTTTTCTTGGGCTCTGCAACTTACTGGGCTTAAAAAGAGTAAAGGGGCCCTGAAGAGGCCTAGAATCTGGCCTTTACCCCTTCTGCCAGCATGAGATTATTGAGGGGAATTCCAGTTTCTTGGAGTCAATTGTTTCTAATATCAGCGAGGCATACAAGGGTCTCTAAAGATATATATATATATACATATATATATATTTATATATATATATATAGATATATATATGTGTGTGTGTGTGTGTGTGTGTGTGTGTGTGTGTATTCTTACATTATATTATATTACATTATATGCATATTATATATCACAGACTCGTTTCCACCAGGCTGCATCCAGTTCTCCACTTTCCGTTTTAATACTTGACTGTTGAGGTGGAGCAGGCCTGTGTCTGAAAAATTAAGTAGAATGAAAGAAACCAAAGTTAGGATGTGTTCAGTTAGTGCCAGCAGCCCTGCCTGTGGACCATCCTTTTCATCCTCTCTTGGCTTTTAGCTACTTTTGGTATTGCTTCTTTAGCTATTAAAAAAACAAACAAAAGAGAAAGAAAGAGAAGGAAAAAAGAAAAGAAATAAGCAGAATAGTAGTTGAGAACATGGAGACGCTGGTGGAGGAGTGAGCCGGGTGTCTCTTTAATGGGTACTGACTTAAGAGTTTTAAGAATTCTGGATTTTGGTTACAGACACTGTGAACGCAGCAGTGCTGACCTTTTTGTTTAAAATGATTACGGTGTTAGTTTTACCTAATGTATACCTGAATGTATGTAAAAAAAATCTTTATGTACACTTATCTTAGTTAGGGTTTCATTGCTGTGAAGAAACACCATGACCACAGGCAACTCTTACAAAGAAAACATTTCATTGGGGCGGGCTTACAGTTTCACAGGTTTAGTCCATTATCATTATGGTGGGAAGCAGGGCAGCATGCAGGCAGACATGGTGTTGGAGGAGCAGAGTTCTGTATCTTGATCTTCAAGCAGCAAAGAGACTGTGTACCACACTGGGTGTAGCTTGAACATAGGAGACTTCAAATTCTGTCCCCACAGTGACACACTTTCTCCAACAAGGTCACACCTCCTCCAGTAAGGCCATATCTCATAATAGTGCCACTCCCCATGGGCCAAGCATTCAAACACATGAGTCTATGGGGGCCATACCTACTCAAACCACAGCATCCCACTCCCTGGCTTCTATAGGCCTGTAGCCATAGGAGAATGCAAAATGCGCGTTTAGTCTAACTTCAGCAGTCTCCATAGTCTATGACAGTCTCAACAATGTTTAAAAGTCCAAAGTTCAAAGTCTCTTCTGAGATTCATGCAATCTCTTAACTGTAATCCCCTATAAAATAAAATTTAAAAAAAAGACAGATCACATACTTCCAATATACCATGGCACAGGATATACATCCAAAGCATGTGTCATCCCTCCTCAAGATCCAGATCAAAGGCAAGTCTTCCTGCCTCAAGATCCTGGTCACAGCTGTGCCCTCCATTTCTGGATTGTAGTTCATTCCAGATGTGGTCTAGTTGACAACTAAGAACAGCTATCACAACACTAAACGACTTGGTGTGAGTGCAGTACCATACAACGTGTCTGGAGCTCAGAGGCCCACTTCAGGTGTCAGTTCTCACCTTCTACCTCATTTGAAACAGGATCTCCCTTGTTCATTTGAGCCTGCTGCTGGCTGTCCCATGAGCTTCTAGGAATTCTTTATCTCCACCTCCCATTCAGCCACAGGAATCCTGGGATTTCAGATGTGAACAGTTGTGTCTGACTTTATATGGAGTTTTGGGAATCTGAACTCAGGTCCTTTCATTTGTGTGGCAAGTGTATTATCCACAGAGCTGTCTTCTTAAGTCTTGACTGCATTTTAAAAAACTAGAGGTGGGGGGGGGAGAAATAGTCACACATATGATTAACTACTCACACAGGAAAGAAGACAGTATATTAAAGGATGCATGCTGTTTCTAGTTGAGAAAATATTATTTTAAAGACTTTCCTCTAATTTTACACCATGTATACTATGTATGTCTATACAAACTTACTTTTTTAAAACAGGAAAGAATAAAAGGCAGGAGTAGGTCAAGCTTCTATGACTTGGGCAGCTGTAAGATGCAAAAAGAGGTGCGTGGACAGGAACTAGCCCTGCACAGTTAGAGTGGGGAAGGGTCTAAGGGTCACATCCTTTTAGAAGCTGGAGGGAAGGGAATGTGAGATGGCCTTGGATGGTGAGACCTGAAAGCCACTTAAGGCAGTTTCTGCTTTGTTTCCACAGGCTGTCTTTGTTTCGGTGACAGCTGAGCCAGTCCATGACCGCCGGGCTGACCTGCAGAGATTGGAGCAGAGCCCATCAGAAGGATCCTGTCCAGCAGGTACATTCTAGAGTAATGGCCAGTCTTGGTCTTTGATTGCCCATCCTCGGCTCCATGGTCTTGCAGTTCTCATTTCTTTTCTGACATAGATACTTATTCACCATTTTCTAAATCCAAGGCCATGAAGATTTATCTTCACCGTGTTTTTCCTGAATGTTTTCTATTTTGGTATGTCTCCATTAAGGTATTTTGGATTAATTTTGTACAGAGTATCAAGTAAGGGTCCAGCTTCTTATTTTATACATAGCCATCAAGTTCCTTCCTTTTTTTATTTTTCTTTTATTTATTTATTTTTATTTTTTTTTCTGGATTTAAGCTAGGGTCTCACTCCTGCTGGACCACCACATTACCACTGAGCTGTAGCCCCAGCTCTGCCAGCCAGCGGCTGGTCACAATTTGCACTGTGTGAATTCTGGGTGCCCTACAATCATAAAACCATGGAAACCAGCTGTGTTCGAATTCTGTTCAGTCATCCTAACTCTCTGCAGAACCTTTGATAGCTCTCAGCCTGGTCCTGTTACGAGAACTATCAAGGTCAGTGTCGGTGCTTGGCCAGTCCTAACAAGCCAGGCTCTACCATCATCCTCAGTAATTAAGCCGATCAGAAAAGTCATTGATGAGAGAGCTGGACCCACCCCTCACCCAGACAGTGCTGGAGAGCTGGCCCAGGTGGCAAGGATGTAGGAGAGCTGACAAGCCGACCAACTCAGCTACCACACAGTCCCAGATCCAGGGCTCTGAGCTGGCCCACCTCACCATCTCCCCGACCCCGACCTGTGAGCTGCTGGAGCCCATGAAGGGACTGGACCTGCAGAACCACAGCTGCAGGGTCTTCATGACTCAGGGCAGCAAGAGGACATCTGAGAGCAGTCTCAGTGAGGATTAGTACTGATAGTGTAGGGGAACCAGACCAATGACTCATTGCATGAATGTTTGCAAGTAAAGATGTGTGAACAGAAGGGTTCACTGTGTGACACACTGTGACACACCACAGCTTCCATGGCGAGACCTTTTTCTTTTTTTTTTTAATTAATTTTCTATTTTCTTTTGGGGAGAAGTTACAAGAGTGGACAGTGGATATTGAAGGACTAGGAATGGGTGGGATTGGGGTGCATGATGTGAAATTCACAAATAATAAAAATTATAGGGAAAACTCACTGAAATTCACAAGGAGATTTGCCCATCATGGCCATATTGGAAACTGACAGGGGTCTAGTGATACCCAAATCCATCTTTGACATGACGTGTAGGGATAAGTAGGGGCCAGAGTTATGTATTGTTTTGTTGTTGTTTTTGTGATTTTTAACAATTTATTTTTATCTTCTATACACGTGTGTTTTGCCTGCATATGTGTCTGTGTGAGGGTGTCGGAACTGGTCCCCTGGAACTGGAGTTAAAGACAGTTGTGAGATGCCATGTGGGTTCTGGGAATTGAACCTTTGTCTTCTGGAAGAGTGGCCAGTGCTCTTAACCTCTGAGCCATCTCTCCAGCCCCCAGAGTTATTGACCCATCGGTATTTTGTTCTCATTCTGCCCTACGGGGTGGTCTGACAACTTGCAAATCTTGTTCCTTATATGTTTCTGTATCCTGCCTAGCCATAGACTTCATCTTTTTTTTTTTTTTCGCCCTAGTAAAAGATTTCCAATTTGTTGGCATTCAGTGTCTCAGTAGTCTTATAGTCAAAGGGAGAGGTCACAAGTGTCTCTTTGGCATATCCCCAGTTCTTCTAGAAGGTCCATTACAGTCCTGCAGTCTCTGGCCACTCCCTGTGTGGTGTCTATGAGCACCACTGCAGGGATATGGGGCTCCTTGGCCTTCTGAAGAAGCTGCCTCCCTTCATTTTGGCCATGGCTTCAACCTCCTTTCAGGAATGAATGGGACAGGTGGCAGATGCTGAGAAGACAACCGTTCCCATGTGTGTGACTCTCTGTTGGAGCCACCTGTCTTTTTGTTTTGTTTTGTTGGTTTTTCAAGACGGGGTTTCTCTGTGTATTCCTGGCTGTCCTGGAACTCACTCTGTAGACTAGGCTGGCCTCGAACTCAGAGATTAGCCTGTCTCTGCCTCCCAAGTGCTGGGATTAAAGGTGTGCACCACCATTGCCCGGCGGGAGCCACCTGTCATGAGGACAGTCCAGTTCTGCTGTGTGGTGCAGGCATACACAGAGGACAGAGAGGGATTCCATCTATTTCTTTGCTGTACAGACCCTGTCACAGGGAACACCATCTCCAGCTCCAGTCAGTGCAGGCCTGATAGGGATGTAGGCCTGAGGTCCCAGGAGCGCTTGGCTGTGATGCCTCGGGAAATAGAATGGGTACCAGACTGCTTCATCATGAAGTGGCTTCTATAGTCTGCTTGTATAGATACTTGTCTCTTTTACAAGTTGCCTACTTTGTTGATGTACCAAAGTTCATAATATTCATTCATAATCCCCTTTCTTTTATTGGGTGATGGGAGTCTCATATTTAGCCCTGGCTGACCTGCAATGTGCTGTGTAGACCAGTCTTGCTTTGAATTGTTTCTGCCTTCTAGCTTACATGGTAAGTTCTAGGCTAGCTAGGGCTATATAGTGAGACCCTGTTTAAAAACAACAACAACAAAACAAAAACAGAAAGGAAGAAAAGAAAATGCTCCCTAGACATGCCCACAGCCAACCTGATGCAGGCAGTCCCTCATTGTGATCCCCATTTCCCAAGTTTGTCTAACTAGGACATGAGTCTTTACCACAGCTCTGGGAATCCTGAAGTTTCCTTAACCAGTTTTCTTTCCATCCTCAGGCCACTACCTGTCAGGAGGAAGCTTGTGCAAACCTTGCAAACCTGGTGTAGACTATACCAGCTTTCCCAACAGCCTGGATTCCTGCCAACTCTGCAGTGTCTGTAAGAAAGGTACAGAACAAAGGGGCCCTTCCCCACAGGTGGGGTCTGGGGCGGTGGGATTCATAACTGCAGTGGACTCAGAAACCTCAATTCCACCATCTTGATCTTCATTCTTCCCCGTTCTCTGCCTGTCTTTAATGCAATGGCACAAAAACAAAAGTGAAGAATTCATTTGTGCTGTGTTTGGGAATCATTGAGACCATCTGTTAAGAATGAGGTAGTGTGCCCTGTGGAGGGCCCCTCCCGGTACCCTCAGATGCATTGTGGGACAGTTACTATTACCCTCACCACAAATTGATTTATAAACTTGGCACACGTGGTGAACAGGAAGTACCCTAGTGTCAGCCGTGCAAGGACTTGTGTCAAGGAGTGGTGGGGCTCCACAGAGCACATGTCATTGGAGCTGGGCCTTGAAGGATAGATGCCGGTTTCAAAATGGAACAGGGAGATCTCCAGCCAGAGTTGCAGAATTGAGAAGTAAAGAGGCCTGCACATTTGGAATAGGGAATAATTCCATTCTGGGTCTAGCATGAGTCTGCTCAACTCTGCAAAGGATTTGATACCTGTCAGCAAACCTTGAGTCTCCACGGGTAGTGGCCTGTTTTCCATTCCCCAGGCATGGAAGTTAGACGTGTGGGTCATGGGGTGAGTCTCCCCTCTGTCCCTGTGGTCACTCTCCAGTTGTGGGTGACATGGTATGTTCTATTCTTCCTCTCAGGAGCCATCAGCTTCTTTCTTAGTACTGGCTGCCTTCAAGTCCTGTGAGACCTAATGCCTCTCCCTCTAGAACATAAACTTCAACACATATTCATCTTTCCTGTCGTGGGCCTGCTGAAGTGTTTGGGTTGTGGGTTATTGTGTTAGTTTCTTGTCAGGAAAAGCTCTGACAAAAGCACTTACTGAAGATAGGGTTGAACTGGCTCACAATTCAAGGGTACCATCCACTGTTGCAGGGAGTCAGGCGGCAGGGGCTGGAGGCAGCTGGTCAACTTACCTTTTCAGCGAGTGATAGGCATGTGAGCCCAGCTCAGTTTCCCCTCTTCATACAGTTCAGTGACCTAGTCCAAGGAAAGATGCCACCCAGACAGTGTGAGTCTTCTCACCCAGTTAGCTTAATCAAGATAACCCCCCCAGACATTTCCAGAGGCCTGTCTCCCAGGTGATTCTAGATCTTATCAAGTTAACAGTTGAGATTAATCACCATAATTGGTAACAAAAAATGTAGTGGTTGAGTGGGTTAGGGCTGGGTCCCCACCTGGTTCTGGGCTAGACTCTCTTGTTGCAGTCTCTAGGGTCATGGTGGGTGTGAGCACTCAGTCTCTGCTTCTTAAGGCTCCTCCTGTTTCCAGGAGCCTGAAGATCATCCTCTGTACATCCCTTGCACCTGTCCTCAGGATCTTTGAAAGACTTTTCCTTCCAAACCTGATGTATGAGATCATGAATTGTGTTCCTTTTGTATGGCCCTGAGAACTCACAGCTGCTCATGGGAGCCTTCAGCCACATGTCCGGGCTGTGGTGTTATAGAAACTAGTCCTCGATATTACTTCCTAATTTCAGTTGAGCTGAAGTGGAAGTGGCATGAGGAAGTGTTACCGTGGTAACCAGGAAAACTCTTCCCTCAAACCCTTACAGATAAAATCGTAAAAAACGGATGCACCACAACAAGAAACACTGAGTGTCAGTGCAAACCAGGCACCTTTGAAGATAAGGACTCCACTGAGATCTGCCAGACATGCTCTAAGTATAATACAGGGGCCCTGGAACTCTTAGAAGCCCAGAAGAACCCCAGAAGACCCTACCTTCTTTGTATCCCTCTCTTTCCCTCCAACCCTGTGGAGTTCTCACAGCAGTGTGTGTGTGTGTGTGTGTGCGTGTGTGTGCGTGTGTGTGGTGTGTATGTGGTGTGTGTGTATATGTGGTGTGTGTCTGTTTGTCTGTCTGTCTGTCTGTCTATCTGTCTGTCCCTTGGGGTTCTCAGAGGTACCTTAGCCCACTCAGCCAGCATTGCCCCAGGAGCCTGTCTTGTCAGTGCCACATATCTCTACTTCAGGAGTTTGAGGGGGGAAAAGCCAACAGGGACATGGCTCAGTGGTGACCACACGGGCTTCTTACCTTCCCTTTCCTAACTTAGGGTCTTCCTGTGGCCAGGGCAGCTCAACACACATTCTGTACAAAAGGCAAAGGGCTACCACCATGCCTATGGGGATTCCCCATGGTCTGCACTATGTGCCCAGATGTAGGGACAAATATGGAATGTAGGTGCATGGCGCCTGTCTTTCCTTTAATACCATTTCAGGGATGCTGGGCAGAGTGGGTGACTAACTTTTTATCGAGTCTGGCCAGCAGCCTTCTCACAAAATCTTACCATTTGTTTCTTGTGTGTGCCCAGCTGCACTGATGGGGAAGATGAAGTGACTCCCTGTACCCCGGAGACAAACCGGAAGTGTGTCTCCAAAAACACTCGGGCATCTCAGCATAACCTAGCCCTCAAGATAGGGCTCCCAGGGGTCACATTGCTGGTCCTGCTGATTGTAGCTCTGCTTGTTTGGAAGACTGGAACATGGAGACGAGGGTTGCTCTTTATAAAAAGAGCCTGTCTAGGTGAGCATTGGCTGAGAGTGGGTCCCCGGACACTGAATCTCACTCTCCCTGGCCTGCCCTTCTCCTTCAGGATTGTCCTCTCTGTCTCCCAAACTCCTGAGTCCTTGAAGCCTAGCTCTGTCTTGTTCCTGTGATTCATATACCATCTCTCACTTCCCCCAAACAGCAAAGATCCAGACTCTGACCAGTGCCTCTCACTGACCGGTCCCTAATTCTCTTAACTGTAAAGCGTCTTTTATTCACCTGTGATCATTGTCATCTTGGAGGCTTAGTGCCTCCGTCTGCAAACCTAGGCCTATTCCTGGAAGCTTCTAGCCTCTGTACAATCTAATCCAGGCCTAGAATGTTCTCAGCCTCTGAGACTTGTTGCTGAATAAGCTCACTCTTTCTAGTTCTTTCTGAACTCTGGCTGGCTGGTTCAACTCAGCTGTTCTGGCCCAAACTCCTCTCCAGACTGACTGATTCAATCTAGCTTCTCTTTCTACCTGAATTGCTCTGCTTGACCTCAAACTAACTCTAGCAATCTGTTCTAATCTTCTGGCTTCTCATTCTCTGGCTCATTCTGTCTTTACCTGTATCTGGCTTGTTCTACAGTCTGTCTCTGTATAACTGTCCTGGTAAAACTGCCTCCTTCCTCTCTTTATTCCTTTCTCTTACGTAGTTTCCCTTTCCTCTCTTTTTTTTTTGTGAGAGTTGGACATATCCTGTTCTGTCAAATCTTTCTCCGATTCATCCCATTGTCTGCCCCTCAATCAGACATCACTTTCAAACATGTCTGCTTCCTTCTACAAACTAGCTTTACCCTCATTGTTTGGTATTAAAGATGTGTACTAAGGGCATGTCTATATTCCAGCCAGAGGAATTAAAGGTGTGTGCTAAGGGCTGAGCCACACCACAACTAAAAAGGGGTGTTTTCAGTAAATACACAATCTTGGGGTTCACAGTGTGATCAAATATCCTACAACACTTAACCAAGTCTGAGAGAGTGGGACATGGTCAGGACAAAGAAGCATCAACTCTTCAATTGAGGATAAAGGTCAGGACCAGAGAGGGCCAGGGACAGCTCTGATGACAGCAGAACCAGACAAAAATTCTATGTGTGTTCATGTTTATTTGGTTTCTCTCCAGCTGCCTTCTCAGCCTGAGGGTAGACCCAAGCAAGAATGGCCCTCCTTACCTAGCTAGTGTTGGAACCTCTAACCCCCTCTACTCGGATAAAGAAGGGATGATGAGTCTCCTACCCACCTGCTGTGGGGACCTTCTTCTCTTCTAGGTCATGAACAGGACCCTGAACATGCAGACACTGTGTGTTCCTCTCTCTTGGGCCCACAGACATGGAGGAAGACAAATGACTCTCACCACAGCATGGTCAGTCCTGCGTCGAAGGCCTCAGCTGTAGCTCTGAGAGGCAGGGCTTTTTTCTTTTACCTTTTAATTTTATGTATGTGAGTGCTTTGCATACATGTATGTCTGTGCACGCATGTCTGGTGACCGTGAAGGCTAGAAGAGACCATTGGATCCCCTGGAACAGGGGTTACAGACAGTTATGAGCTGCCACTTGGGTTCTGGGAATCAAACCCAGATCCTCTGGAAGAGTACCCAGTACTCTCAAACAATGAGCCATCTCTTCAGCCCTGAGAAGAAGGGTGTTTGAGGGGCTGCACAGCCCAGGAAGGAGGGTACATCATCTCCACCTGGATCTGGGTCCACTATCAAGCAAATGACCATTTTTGAGCTTCCACAAGGCCTCAGACCATGTTGCAACTGCCTTTTCTGCCCTGCTCCTGTGGTTGGGGTCAGGTGGGAAGAGAGACCTCCCCTAGGCACAGTGTCAGCAGCACATGGTGCCAGAAACAGATCATGGCTATGTGAGCCTGGGGTATCATCTCCTTAGTGGTCTCTTTGCCTTCCCAAAGTCATTTCCACATGCTGTGTCCCTCGGGAGGATCTGAAGTTCAGGGCAGTGATCACACTGAGTCCCCATACAGCAGAGAATGGCCATCCACTTTTTTTTTTGAGCACAAAATGGACAGAAAAGAGCTGATGACAGGAGTCACTGGAGAAATGCTGGTTTATAGACAAAGTAGCAGTTGTTATCAGATCTCCTAGGGGACAAAGGACAGGCTGGGTGTGGCCTAATGTGGTAGCCAAGCCACTCTGTGAAACATGCTGAGCCCTTTCCCATTCGTGCTGTGTCGTCAGAATCTGGGGCAGCACAGGTGTGGAGCAGACACCATGGCAAGGGCTGAGTTTCTGGGCTTAATTTTTGTTTACTATATTGGGGTTTCATACATGCTAGGCAGATACTCTACTACTGAGCTACATCCTCAGTAACTTTAAAAAAAATTTTTTTACAGATTTATTTATTCATTTTATGTATAATAATACACTGTTGCCCTCTTCAGACACACCAGAAAAGGGCATCAGATCCCATTACAGATGGTTGTAAACTACCATGTGGTTGCTGGGAATTGAACTCAGAACCTCTGGAAGAGCAGTGCTCTTAGCCACTGAGCCATCTCTCTAGCCCCCTCAGTAACTTTTAAAAAATGTTTTACTGGGAGAATGTCTCACTATGTCACCCAGGCTGGCCTTCAGCTTTGCCCGTCTGCCTCAGTCTCCAGAGTAGTTGGTATTACAGGCCTATGCTATCTGCCTGTATAGTTTTCCCTTTTCACCATTTGTCTAGTTTTCTGATTACATTTGTAAGGAGGATTTCGTGAAGTACAGTTTCCGGGTCAAGGTTATGGAAGTGCCATTTGGTACACACATGAGTACACACATAGTCAAGTCAGAGACACATGTAGTCATGAGTGTACACACACACAATCAGATGCACACAATTACATATATAGGGTCTCTCTCTGTCTCTCTCTCTCTCACACACACACACATGCACACACACGCACACACAGCTGCTGGTTTTCATTTGTATTGGCTCACAAGTTTTGATCAGGCATTGTAGCACTTCCTGTTGGTTTTGCTATAGGAAAGCATCAAGTGTCTCACATGTATGTGGTTTCATTGTAAACATCTTTGCATATCATTATCCTAATGTCTTGTCATTAAGAGCTTTGTAAGAAAAAAATGCTCTGCTGCTATATGAGTATTTTCTCTCACATGGGTAATCGATTTCTAATTTTTTGTATGTGCACATATATGTTCATGTGTATGTACATGTATTTGTGCATGTATGCACATAGGTGTTCATGTGTGTATATGTGTGTGTATGCATGTGCATGTGGAGGCCAGAGGTCTTTGTCAAATATTTTCCTCACTTCTTTTCTTCAATTTGTTATTTTCTGTGGCAGGATCTCTCCCTCTACCTGGAGCTCACTGGCTAAAGTGACTGGCCAGCAAGTCTCAGGGCTTTCCCTGTCCCCAGCTCCTTGATGCTTGAATTACAGGTGCAGCAGTCATGCCCATCTCCCCCTCCCCTTAGGGTTTTTTATTTTATGTATGTGTATGAGTGTTTTGCCTACATGTATGTATGCATACCATGAGTGTTTCTGGTGCCAGAGGAGGTCATAAGAGGGTGTCAAATCCTCTAGAACTGGAGTTACTTCAGCCTCTCTGCCTGGGTAGGTATCTGGACTCAGACCCTCAGGCTTCCTGACTGAGCCATCTCTATAGTTTAATTTGACCTAGTATTTTTACATGGTGAAATTCATTTTATGTATATGAGCCCACTGTAGCTGTCTTTAAACACACCAGAAGAGGGCATCAGATCCCATTATAGATGGTTGTGAGCTACCATGTGGGTACTAGGAATTGGACTCAGGGCCTCTGGAAGAGCAGTTGGTGCTCGTAACTGCTGAGCCATCTCTCCAGCCCCCTGGTGAAGTTCATTTTTAATGGTTAAAATCAGCATATACATTTACTTCCCATCACTCATAGGGTCCCAGAAGCCTTTCCCCAACGTAAGATGCACTTCTGATTTCTTGGGGAGATATTTTTCCCCACTGAATATACTTTTGCATATTTCTGTATCATCTAGATGGATTTTAGATGGAGAACAATGTGATGTCATTCCTGGTCACTGTGTGGACCTTTCGTTCCATTTAAATAGTGGGCCCTGCATACCACTGGTCCCTCCTCACTTACAAATTGAATGTTCATCTTGACAGTTTCTTCCTTCCGCCTGGGCGAGTGCTGTTTCATTTTTGCACTATACTTAGTGTTTATTTTATAAAGAGAAAGAGAAATAAATTTAAAAACAGTAGCCTCTCAACTCTTAAGTGAGAATGCAGACAGTGTAGAAAGGGACTCAGGAAGTAGTCAGCCCTGCAGCTCATCTCCCTCCTGAGAGATGATGGGTAATGTCAGGTTCTTTGGTTCTTTCTTTAAGGTGTTTACACTGTATCAACATCATTTACATGAAGGACTCAAGGACGTATATACAATACTCTGATGCACATGAAAATTTCTAGTATATTAAAATAAGTAGATTTTTGTTTAAAACTTGTCAATTTACCCTGATATAATTTAGAGTTCATTCATAAGGTTTTTTCCCCCTTGCTCAAGATAATAATTGGAATTTTAAAAAATTTGCCTTAAATATTAAAAGGGGGCCATCAAGATTACTCAGTGATAAAAAGAGCTTACCACAAAAGTCTCATGACCTAGGTTTGACCACTGGAACCCACAAAAAGCCAGAGATGGTAGTTCAGATCTCAGCACTCATACAGTGAAGTGATATTGGAAGCAGAGACAGGAGATGCCCTGAAACCTGTGGGCTATCTATTCTGGACTATTCAATATAGCAGAAGCAAAAGAACATTTCCCTCGATATGGTAGAGAGAACTGGCTTCAGAAGTTGTTCTCTGACCTCCATGTGCACACTGTGGCACACGTGCACACTGTGGCACACATGCACCTGCACACAAACACATAACGCAAATACACAGTAATATTATTTTAAATTAAATATAAAAAGTAATCTAGGAGGTATTGATATCTTGCCAGTACTCATTTTTTAAAGGTTTGTTTTATGTGTTTGTGCACACACAGGTGTCCACAGAAGCTAGAATGGGGCAGGCCACTGGAGCTCCTGGAGCTGGAGTCAGAGGCATTTGTGAGGTGCCTGATGTAGGTGCTGGATCTGAACTCTGATTCTCTGAGAGGGTAGTAAGAGCTCTTAACTGCTGAGCCATCTCTTCAGCCCAATAATCAGTATTTTTTTTCATCTCAGGAGACAGCATTTTAAGACAAGTTTTTTTTCTGAAATATGAGTATTTTTTAAATTGTTGTGTTTATTTACATTCCAAATGTTGCCCTCCCTTCCCAGTCCCCCCTCCAAGAGTTCTTTACTCCCTACCTCTTCACCTCTGAGAGGGTGCTCACCCACACCTACCCCCTCACCCACCTACCTACCCCCAACTTACCCCTCCTTGCATCCCCCTTCCCTGGGACATCAAGTCTCTACAGAATTAAATGTATCCTCTCCCACTGAGACCAGACAAGGCAGTCCTCTGCTACATATGTGCTGGGGGCCACAGACTAGCCCATGTATGCTTTTTGGTTGGTGGCTTAGTCTCTGGAAGCTCCAGGGGTCGGGTTAGTTAATACTTTAAGTCTTCCTATGGGGTTGTCATCCCTTTCACCTCCTTCAATCTTTCTTGTCACTCTTCCATAGGGGTATCCGACCTCAGACTAGTGGTTGGCTGTAACTATCTGTGTCTGTGTCAGTCAGCTGCTGATAGAGACTTGATGCCCCAGGGAAGGGGGATGTGGGGAGGGGTAAGTTGGGGGTAGGTAGGTGGGTGTGGGTGGGTGAGTGAGCACCCTCTCAGAGGCAAAGGGGCAGGGGGTGAATGACATTGGCTGTTTTACATAGACATTTCCTTCATTATTGATGTATCTGAAGAACTACTCTGCCTCTAACTTATGCTTAAAAGGCATCTTATAGTAAAGACAAACTAGATTCTTTCCTGTTTATGATTAAATCTTTGTTTCTCAAGGATTGGGCTATGCCTCATCTCTAACCTTAAGTACGAATGGTTCTGTACTGCTTGTTGCAGGAATGGCAATCATGTCTTTGTTTCAAAAAGTAGTAACCATCTTGCAATCCTACCTTTGTTTTAAAAAGTTATATGAGCACCTATGCCCACCTTGTTATACCCACCTTGCAACCACGTCTTTGATTCAGGAGTTTGTTAAAATTTATTTGCTATGCTTATGTTAGGCTCCGGTAACCCCACCTGTTTTGCTGGCCGGGTCCCCATGCAGAAGCCCCTACACCTAAGCACTATAAATCTTTGTCTTCCTCACATATAATGCTGACCTCTTGAACCTCACCTGAGGGAGGGAGGGACAGTCCTTGTGTGTGAATTTTTTAAAAAAAGTTTGCTTTAATTAATTTGGTCATGATGATTTAGGTCAGTGGTCTTTCTCCTTTCATCTTTGGAATTAACAATATTCCTTGGCTCCAAGTTGTTTTTAAGAAGTCGAATTTAGGGGCTGGAGAGTTTGGCTCAGCAGTTAAAAATATTTGCTCCTCTTCCAGAGAACCCAGTTTCAGTTCTCAGCACTTGGAATAGGGTGGCTCACAACCGCCTGTGACTTCAGCTCCGGGGCACCTGACACTCTTGTCTGGCCTACACAACTCCCTCTCATATGCACGTGACACACATATACATAAATTTAAAACTGTTCAAATGGTCAAATTTCATATTCAGTTGTACAAAAACACCTTCCCAGCCCTGATGCTATTGGTGTTTAGACTGTCGATGTGTGAGTTGTTACCGATCAAAACACCGTGAAAGCCTTAAAGGAAATCTTGATCTTGGATTTTGCAAAACAAAATCTGTTCTCTGTAGTCTCCAACTGAGTCTTGTAAGAAGCCTTGGGGGTTGGAGGGGATGCAGAAGAGAAGCCCTGGACTAAAGGGGGAACTTTCAGTCTTGATGGAGGCTTGTCGCAGAACACTTGAGTTGAGGATTTATGCCACACTAGGCCACCAGCATTCAAGAGCCTTCAAGTAGCTGAGGCAGGAAGTTTATCTGGGTCTCCACAGAGACCTTAGAGGGGCAGTGCTGTAAACTCAGTCTCCTGATCAGAATCAGGCCTGGGTCCAGGTCTCCTGACTCTGACCAGCGCATGTCTCTGCTCTTTGCTTACAGGAACCTGACAAAACTCAGAGTTCGCCAACAGGAAGGAAGTCGCTGGTTCCGGCAAATGGAATTGACCCAGCTGCCGGTGAGTGCTTTGTCTGAGGCTGAAGTACAGAAGTCCAGGGAATAGGAGAAGCCATTTATCCAGTTATCATCCCCATGGCAGTCAGGGCTCTGCCGAGACAGCTAATGATGGAGGCAGAGCCCACACTGTTATCCCTGGGACCCTCCCCAGCACCTCATATTGTTATTGATGGAGTCTTTCTGTCCTTTCACTCTTTCATTATCCTTCCTTTCTCCCCTGTAGTCCCCACCCCCACCCCCACCCCCACCAGGGCCTCCAGAATGGTGCATTGGCCTGTGTTAATACCCAGGTACCAACCTTAGACTAGAAGCTCCAGACATGGCCAGACCTAGTTCTATGAGCTGTACTATAAACCACAACCCCGATTTCAGAGACTCCATGCAAAATGAATGGAAACCATCTCATGATGGTTCAGATACCGGCTGCATGAGTATGGAGTTGAATCAAACGGCACTTGTTTTCTTTCATATCGTTCATATTTAGTTTGTTCGTCAGTTAGTTTCACACAGGTTCTGGGAACAGAACTTAGGTCTTCTGCGAGAGCAGAGTGTGCTTTCAACCACTGGGCTCTCCCTTCCACCACCATACTCAGCGCTGTACTGCTGGGGACTGAACCCAGGACTCTGAGTATGCTGGGTACCAGCTGAGCCACACCTCTAACCCTCCTTTTACTGGCTAAATAAGACTGTTAGAAAATGTCCGTGTGACTCCCAGGGCTCATGGGACTCATATCCCAGCTCCTTTGGTTCCTCAGAATGGAGGGTGACACATTTCATACGTGTCTCATCTGTGTCATCATAACCCCATAAATGAGCTTTCTTACTGAGCTACAGGTTCAGAGTTTCTGTCATCTCTTTCCCTACATCTCTCGGCAGTGATGCAGCCGTAGGGAGGCCAGCTGGCACAGAAAGGTCCTCCGCCTCTCTGCTTTGCTCTTTCTGCAGCAAGGAAAGCCTTGCTTTATACCACACTCAGTATGAGTACAGCCTAAACAGCTTAACTCTCGTGGTATACTGTACACTCACCCCCTGTGCCCCTCTGTTGTTCATGCTACATGCTTGCTCCTCCCTTGCACACACATACACACGCACACACACACAATGCAAATCTCCCACTGAGCCAAAAGCCCTCTTGCATTACAGGAATTTTTTAAGATATATACTTTAAAACTTTTATTAAAATTTTACTTTGTATATATGGATGTTTTACCTGCATGTATGTCTGTGCACCACTTACATGCCTGGTGCCTTGTGGAAGCCAGAGTATAGTGTCAGATTTCCTGGTACTACAGTTACAGATGGATGTGAACCATGGGTACTGGGAACTGAACCCGAGTGCCCTGGAAGAGTATTCAGCTGAGCTATTTCTCCAGCACCCAGATTCTTGGTTGCTTCAGGTGTGGAGGCTCCAACAGCCAGCATCACGGAACAGCAAGGGAGTGCATGGAGCCCTACCCTGGGCTTCATAATCTGATTTAGGATTCTTTACCCTGTGTGAAGTGCTTGGAGCTCACCTGTTCCCCATGTTTTCTGACACCCAGCCCTGAAGTCAATCTTCGAGTACTGTTCGAACGAAGTGCCCTTTAACTCCTGGGACCGTCTCATGCGGCAGATGGGCCTCACCGACAATCAGATCCAAGTGGTCAGGGCTGAAACACCAGCCCAATGTGAAGCCTTGTACCAAATGCTGGTGAAGTGGCTTCACCAAACTGGGCTAAGTGCCTCTATCAACCATCTGCTGGATGCCTTGGAAACCGTGGGAGAGAGACATGCCATGGGGAAAATTGAAGACTATGCAGTGAAATCTGGGAACTTCATTTATCTGAACGTTACAGCCCAGGCAGGTGTGGTAACTCAAGAGACAGAGCCAGGAGGATCTCTATGAGTTTGAAGCCAGTCTGGTCTACATAGTGAACTGAGGACAGCCAAGGCTATGTAGAGAGACCCTTTCTAAAAAACAAAAAAAAAAAAAAAAAAAAAAAGGAAGAGGAGGAAGAGAACCTGCTTCATGCTCTTCGGTATTATTAGAATGTAATTTATTTTTTCTTGCTATATTTATTGTATAATATTACTGTATTGTCCTATTTCAAGTTGAACACAGAGCCTCTGTGAACATAGATCCTAGATAAATGTTCGAACACACCTCCAGCATCCTGGTTTACCTTTGTTCCTAGACAAGGCACAATTGGTAAGGTATGGTGGAACCTGCCTATCACTCTAACACTCGGGAGGCAGAGCCAAGAAGATCAAAAGTCCGAGGCCAGTTGGTTCATATAAGCTCCTGTGTAATGTGCATGCTGTCTCAGCTTGTTGAGCGCTGACTCTGGGGACAAAGAAGGTACTTCTGTCCAGATTCTAGCATTCTCATTTCATGGGTCTACCAAGACCCCTTGTCCAGAGACAAAATACCACTCTATAACAGAAGGAAGAATTAAACAGTCCAAGGGTGGGAACTCGTGTCCTTGAGAACAGATAAAAGGTTTCCAAACATGGCCACTGCTGTTCACTGTTAAACTGAGCACTACACAGCTGCACAGTGCGCCCTTCCTCCAGGTGCTAGTGGGCACCCTACTGAGAGTATGTCTCTCTTGAATCTAATTCCCAATTGTCTGTATTTCACACTTGAAGTGAGTTTGCTGGGTTGGACACAGTGTTTGGATATAAAAAATGCTAACTGGGGTAACCCTTGAGGACCATGCACCCTGTAAGCATTTGACCATTGTGAGAGTAAACACAGAAACTCACCACTGTCCCATCTCAGCCTTTCTAGAGCCGGAATCATAGCCCACCAGATCCAGATCTAGAAATAGCTACCTTTTGATACTGTGATAGGGATTTCTGGAGAGCTGACACATGCAGATTTTTGTCCTGTATGGATTCCTCCATGCACCCCGTAAGCATTTGACCATTGTGAGAGTAAACACAGAAACTCACCACTGTCCCATCTCAGCCTTTCTAGGGCCGGAATCACAGCCCACCAGATCCAGATCTAGAAATAGCTACCTTTCGATACTGTGATAGGGATTTCTGGAGAGCTGACACATGCAGATTTTTGTCCTGTATGGATTCCTATCATTTTTTTACGCTTACTTGTTTTTTGAGACAGAGTCTCAATATGTAGCCTTGGCTGACCTTCAACTTACTATATAGTTCAGGATGGTCTCCAGCTCAAAGAGTTTTGCCTGCGTTTGACTTCCAAGTTCTGGGATTAAAAGCATTGCTGGAGAGGTAGCTCAGTGGTTAAGAGCACTGACTGCTCTTCCAGAGGTCCTGAGTTCAATTCCCAGAAGCCATATGGTGGCTTACATCCTTCTCTAATGGGATCCGATCCCCTTTTCTGGTGCGTCTGAAGAGTGTGACAATGTGCTTACATACATAAATCAATCTTTAAAAAAAAGATATGGCAGCATACCTGGCCATCATCTATTTTGTTATTTTTATTTTTTTAGTTTTGCTGTGTATGAATGTTTTGCCTGCATATATATATACATGGCATGCCTGGTGCCTTTGGAGGTCAGTCTGATCCCCTTGAACTGGAGTCGCAGATGGTTGTGATCCAGCATGTGGGTACTTGACGTTGAGCCCAGGTACTCGGCAAGAGCAAGTGCTCTAAACCGCTGAACGATCGTAAGGCCTCATTCTTTCATCCCTCCTTCTAGCAGAGCCTTCTCCAGTAGATTCGACACACAGAAGGATAATTGCCTAGGTGTCTGGTCCCAGGCATTCTGTAGTCTTGTTGCTGTGGCATTCATGTAGCTTCAGGAGGGATACCCCCCACCCACCCACTTCTGAGTATTATCCTTGCCAGTGTTCGTTATGGTATCCGAGTGTAAGCATCCATGCAGACGTCAGGAGTGCACATGAGGGTTTGCTGGGCTCTGTAAGGACTCAGCCCCAAGAGCAGGTGTTTCACCCTCACACTTGATGCCCTTCCTTATCCCTCTTAGAAGTGTGTTGGTAACATAAAACAGTACAAGACTTGTCATTAGATACAAAATACTCATGTATTATGAATTCATGACCAAATTAAATATGAAACCTTATATAAAAAGGTGTGGGGGTTGTCTGTTTGTTTGTGTACCCCCATCCTCAAAGACAACACTGAGTGACATGTGACATAGTCCAGGGGAGCATGTTCTTGGGACACTGCCCCACCCCTGGGGGCATTTGCCACAGGCTTGTCCCACACTGGAGTTTCTCCTGCTTCTGTCTCCCTGGAATCCAGAGCACCCATGCACTAAGGGACTGCAAGCTGCACCTCCCTCTCCTGGCTCACTCATAGCCCCCCACTGCCCCTGGGTGGTTATACAAGGCCGCAGGGCTCCACCTGATGCACACCGGCTCTGGCAGCTGTGGGGGTGGGGTGGGTCCCTGAGGGGTGAACTGGCCTGGGCGGGGCATGGTGGGCAGGGCATGCTGTTCCTTGACCACTCTCCTTGGTTCTTCCTCCAACTCCACAGATCTTTCTCCCACTGGCCTGTCCATCCTCATCACCAGTGATGCCCAGGCTGCTTGGCCCTGTAAATCACTTGGGAGATCCAATTCCCCTTGCTCGTTATGACAGACCTCTACCTATCACTTTCAGTTCCCAAGAGATATGTACTCCTCTGTCCTCCAAGAAAGGCGTGAGAGGCTGCCTGCCTTTTCCATGGGTACAGGCTTCTCTACACTAGAAGCCATGTAGAATTCAGTAGCAGGGTACACCCAGCCAGTAGAGGGCAGCACACAACATACTTCTCCAAGCAGCAATTCTGGAGGACTTAACCAATAGGCAACTGCAGGCTTGGCGGTTCCAGGCTCAGACTACAGAATAATCAGCACTGTGAGACCTGCTACTGCCTGTTCTTTCTGACAAGGCAAACAGAACTGTAGATCCTGGGTACCATACAATTATAGGGTTGCATTTGTTTCTGGGGTTGCTTTCATCCCAGCCTAAGGAACCTATCCAGGTCCACCTATCCAGGTCCTGGGGACTCAGCCAGTATTTCCTACCTAAAGCATTTTCTCAGGGGAGGGGACCCCAGAACTCTCATGACCTACTACTCCCTCATGGGACTTCACCTCATAAGTCTAGAGAAAGGGTAAAGGTGGTGATGTGTGGATCATAATTAGGAAATGGGAAGGGTCAACCGAGGCCCAGTGTTAGTCCCATGGGGGCTTCCAGGCATTATGTCAATCCTCCAGTCACCCCAATTCCTCTTTAGACTATCATCTTTTCCTTCCTGCTCTGCTCTCCTCGTTTTCTCCTTCCCTTTATCCCCAGCCAGTACCAGGTTGACTGTGTGGCCTATTCTCCAGTGTGCCCTTTTCTGACATTTAATCCCTGCTGAAAGCCCCTCACCCCCAAGAAAGCACGCGCTCCACGAACATCCTGTGGAGTCACCTTGGGAAGAGAAAGGCATCCTGCATCAAGATGGGAAAGGTCCAGATCCATTTGAGCCCAAGCCTTCCTCACAACCCTGGAACCTAGAACCACCAAGCCTCGGGGAACAGCAGCCTCAGATATGGAGGGTACAGGTCCTCTCCTGAAAGGCATTGAAGTGGTTGGTACTACTGACCCTTTATAGCCACATAATAGAGGCCTCCATTCGGCTTTATGAAAATGTATACCCTGCAGGCTCTTCTTAGAACTTCATTCTTTTGGGCAGACAAAGGATAGAGTGATCTTGGTGGTACTTTTGAGTTTGCATTTCTCCTGTTGGGCTGTTTTTGCTCCCACCTCATAAAAGGCAGTGGTACCCAGAGGCAGGGAAAGAGACCGTAGAGAAACATGAAATTGCTGAGCACAGAACCCATCCTTCCTCCTCCTCCTCCTCCCTCCATGTCAAACGTAACAAGTGCAGGAAGGGTGAAGTAGAAAACTCACATTGTACTGAGGTGCTGCCTACAAACCTGAACATTGAATCAATGCTGCTACCCACCACTAAGTCTGCACTGCCTGGAGTCAGTCCTGAAAGGATGGTGGCAGAATGCAGTTTATCCCATTCTCCCCCTAGCAGCCACACCTCATGGCGGAGAAGTGTTGATGTGGGCTCTGAAGACATCTTTTCTAGCCTGACTTCTTAAGTAAGGATTTGAGTAAGCCCACAGGATGATGCTCACAAAATACTTGCAACCTTCAAAAGTCTGTTGATGGAAAAATATGACCAGCTCCTGGGGAGGATGCTGCCGCTCTGGCCAGAGCACACACCAATACAGACAAGCCCATGTACAGGGAAGCTTTCCTCCATTGACTCTATTGTCAAGTCCAGAGAGAAAATATCAGAGCTCTGAGCTCTTTCCTGCTCCCCACCTTGGGGCAGAGGTTTTCCTGCCCTGCCTGGAATTGTAGGTGGACCCTGTTCTGATCTGCAGGGCCTGGCTCCTCTTAGCCTGAGCCACATTGGCTGGTGAGAACGGCTCTGCCCTTAGGATTTTGGTTAGGTGAATTCCCTCATCACCTGTCGGGTAGAGGGGATGATACAGAAGAGCAGAAGGACAAGGGCTAATGAGGACAACAGCAGCGGGATCAGAAGAAGGTGGCAGCATCTCAGACCACAGCCGAGGAAGAGGAGGATGGGGACGCCGAGCCCGCTGCTGAGGAGGACGGTGATGAGGGACTGTTCCAAAACAGCCACCGCCGTTTGGGCTGCCTCCGCAGGTGTAAATAGTCCTCTTTCTCTCGCTCCTTCCGCGCACGCTGATAGTGGTCCTCTTCTTTTAGGTACCAGACTGGCGGCCACCGATGCTTCTCAAAGTACTCCTGGTTTTCTAGAGCACAATGCAAGGGGTGTGAAATTAGGAGGTACTCTCAGGGCAGTGCTAAGCCTACCCTGCCCATGGTTCGGGTTAGCTCCTGCCGCAGATGCTTGTGGGGTTAACACAGAGACTTACCTGGAGACATAGCCTTCATGTCCCGGGGGAACTTGCGGCACACGTTGTTGTAGTTGGTGCAGATATGGTGAAGACACCAGTCGGCCAAC